GCAGAAAGCCAAAAAGGAATGCCAAGCACTCTACGGAGCACCGACATGGCTTGCAGAGTGGCGCTGAGCCACTTCCTGCGGATGAATCTCTGAGAAAAGGCGGCTGAAGACGTGACTGAACTCGGTCTATGCTTCGCATTGCGACTGTTGCGCGTTGCAGTGCAGAACGTGCCCCGTGCTGTCCGCCTTCCCGTGGTCGAGCTGAGTCGCCGACATGTTTGGTTCGAGAATTGATCTCAATACATACATCAAAGAGTCTGAGCGATGTGACACAGCTTTTGTGCACCTTCTATCGCAGCGCGATCTTTTCGTTTATTGCGAAACTCAATCTTTCTGCCAACTATCCTCCCCCCTGCGAGGGAAGGTGTTTTGGTAGTGTATAAACGAGGCGACGTCCTCATGCAGATGATATGATTTCGGTTGCACTTGCTTCGCTACCTTTTCATGGTGGTATATGACACTTTGCTTTTCATTCTCTTCTTTTTTTTTCGTGTTGAATATTGGCGTTTTGCAAGGTTAAATAACGGAAATTGGCAAACAGGGGGTATGGCTGGCTACCACGGGTTATTCGCATGAATTGCATACGGTATATGTGCCCCGTTCTTCATCTTCTTCGTTCAACTTTTTTTTTTCTTTTTTCGTCGACTGCACTGCCCGGATTTGGCAGGCTATCAACATCTTTTTCGCAACGTCTCTTTGTGCACAAAACGGGAAACGGAATACACAAAAACATCCACCAAATATGGTGCGCGGGGACCCTCGATATTCAAAAATGGAGCGCAGGCATTGTCTCTTATACATACAGGCCCCTTTCTCTTGCTTTTCTCTTGATTGTTGTTCTATTTTGCTCTTGTGTGCTGTGACTGGCAACGCATCTTTGAATATTATATCCGACCGGCATGATCATCACCATCATCAGTTATCATTGTCAATATACCAACATAGCAGGGTGCCAGGCGAGTGGGTTTATTGCTTTTGTTGTCTGCTCATCCTTACTTGCATACCTCGATTGTTTTATGTCATGTGTGTTTGTGTTTCTACTACTGAGAAAACACCCTTTTCTTTCTGCCCTGCTATTCTATTCCTCGGTTTCACAATTTGTACAAGAGGGAGGAGGGAGAATGCAGATGGGGAGATGTTTAGACATTGGAAAATTTCACAGAAGGCAGAAATATCTGAAAGAAATGAAAAAAAAATTGACAAATACACATATGAACCATCGCTATTCGGTTGACGTTGGTAGAGGGATAAATCCGTACTGGATGTGGCTTCACCCGGAAATCGGCCGGAAGTGCGGTAGTTTGGACTAGGGCGGAGGGGAGCGACCAAAATGGTGCCTCCACCCAACTTCGCTTTGCAAACCTTCCCGCAAAATAATTGTCCGCCCTCATCTCGACTTTGGATTCAATTGGCATCCCCCCCTCTATTCCTCCCCCACTTGTCTTCCCCGTGGGCTCCTCTTAGGTCTCACCATTGACCTCTCTCGGTCACCTCGACCTCATAGACCTGCCTGTGCTCATGGTATAGGTGCTGCAGTCTTCCACGGGTCTGCGATGCCTTGAAATCAGACCATCATGACCCCCGAATCAGCAGCAGCCGCCCGCGGCACCACAACACCGGCCGTCCCCTCGCGCAACGCCCTTCGGGTCCTACGACGGCTGGCTCTCGCCGGATCTACGGTGGGCGGGTTCTGTACCATTGCAGCCGTGACATACGATGTGCACCGCCGGGTCACCATTGCCGAACGCATCGTCGAGAATAAGCGCGCTCTCCATGCCTCCGCCCCCAACTACGACGCCACGGCCGCCGCGAGAAGGCTCGCTCGCATGATGGAGGCCGCCGAGGCCGGTGAGTTTATGGGGCTGGAGTCCCTGAAGGACCAGGATCGTTGTGCTGCATCACAGCCAACACCAACGATAACGCCAACGCCAGAAGTGAACAATCATTCGTCCGACCGCACAACAACAACAACAACAACAACAACGACAAATCTCTTTCAGGACATGTATATCCCCTTACCGGGTGGTGGTGGTGACAGTAGTGCGTCGTCGTCCGCTGTGGTGGAGAAGTTGCTGAAAGATACGAGACCGGGACCGATGAACCCGCAGGTGCAGACTCCTGGGCTCGCTGATGGCCTGGGCTCCCTTGGCAGTAGCGGCAGTAGCGCGAGCGAGCTTCAAAAGGTCGCGCCTGGCACATTTGGGGATAGTCTTACGGATGAGAAGGCGCTGATGGATACTCTGGAAGACCAGCCGGTTACGTGGCAGATGCAATGGTTGCTGACCAATGACCGCCCCGTGTACGCGGCGCAGTTGTTTCTCGACACGCACCCCGAGACACACCAGCACCTGGCTCCGGAACGACGGCAGCTGGCGGAACAGGCGTTCTTCGCCAATTGCAAGGCCGGGAATGTGCATCTGGCGCGGAATGTCTTCGAGCGGGTGGAAGCGGTGGACCAGGTCTCGTTTGAGATGTGGAGGACCATGATTCTGACGCTGGCGAAGAAAGGTGCCATTGAGTCTGCGGCTGCGATCTACACGCGCTACATGCACAGATTTAAGGCCTCGCCGGAGATGATCGACATTGTGCTCCGCTGTCTGGTCGAGTCGCACCGACTGACCACGGCGAAATGGTTTCTTCTTCGGAATCTACAGTATGATCGCGGCTGTGGCCTGTGCGGAGCGTACCTGACGGGACTCTGGAGGAAGACGAGAAGCATAGAGCTGCTCAACGGTCAACTGAGCAAGCTGTTGCGGGTCCTCATGCGCCTCGGGAAGCAGCCTACCGATAAACTGTTCAACCCGGTCATCAAGGCATACGTTGAGTTTGGCCGCCTCGCCGATGCCGAAGCCCTGGCGAACGAAATGACGCGGAACCATGGAATCCCGCCTCGCTGCCGGACCAAAGGGCTCCTGTTGCTGGGCAAGGCCCTGGAGTGCGATTGGGAGGGCGTTCGTGCCGGCTTCGAAGAAATGCACCAACTCCGCCTGGTCTACAGATCGGCCGACTTCATCCCGGTCTTTGACCGCATCTTCCTCGAATACTGGCCGACGCACACTGCGGAGGAGATCCGGACATGGCTGTATGGCTACTTAACCGAATTCGAGATCGTCCCCGATCGGGTCCTGTACAAGCACATTCTGGAGGCCTTGGTGCACAAGGGCGATCGGGAGATGGTCTATGAGTTTCTGCGCTTCGCAAAGGAACGCCAATGGCCGAAACTCATGGATGAATTTGCATTCCTGGAAATGCTGCGATCCCGGCGCCACGCGCTCGAGCATTCACCGATCGGTTTCTGGCAGATGCTGCAAGCCGCGCGCATGAAGTACGGCCAAGCTGCCGCTTCACAGCGGATCCTGGGGTATGATCAACACTCCTTCCCGAGTCCGGAGGTCAACAAGATGCCGTTCACCGAGGACTCATTGCCCTTCTTCCAACGAATGCAGCAAGAAACACAGACGTCGAGGCCGGTGGATCAATATCAGAAAGTCCACCGGGTGATGGCGCATTACATGCATAACGGCAAGTTCGTCGAGGCGTTGAAGCGGTACGAGGCTGCGAAAGCTGCCAGGTTTCACTTCAAGCAGGTGCACGTGGAGCTGGCCGTCATCGCTACTATCATCGAGAAGGGTATCCAGGCAGCCCGAGAGCTGATTGATTCCGACTGGAGGAGCATTCGCAACGTGACCCGGTTTCTCCCCCAGTACTTCCGCCAGGTGACGGAGATTGACACGCAGGCTACGAACGAACACATCAAACTCGCAGTCTTCCGCTTCTATGACATCTGCTCGTCCGGGAAGGACATGGTCGTCAAGCACCACATGCTGGTCGCGCTCTGCCGGCGTCTGATCCATGAAGACAAGCCCGATCTGGCCATCGAGCTTCTGTCCGCGATCTATATGTCCCGCCACCGGAAAACCCTGGCCTTCGATGGGCCCTGTCTGAAGATGTTTCTGCGGGCGTTTACCTTGGCCGACAACCCGCTAGGTGTCCGGTGGTGCCTCATGACGGCGTTGACCTGGCCGAACATCGGCACTGACTTCACCATCGAAGTGCGGCGGATCATCGGGCGGTTGCGCCACCGCACGGAAAGCAACCTGACCAACATGCACTACATGATCGAACGGGAGGAATATCTCACCCACGTGGCCGACATGGTTGTCCGGAAGGTCGAAGGCAAGGATGACTCAATGTCGGATCTGATACACAACCCCCGACTCAAGAATCTCCGGCGCAACATCATCAAGCGTCCCCCTACGGCGATCAAAGCCTACCGACTGGATGAAGTAGACAGAGCGGTCACCGAGTGGGACGAGGAATATGAATTGCACGCCGCGCTGGGAGAGATTCAAAATGTTCGCGTGCGGGCTATTGCCAACCTTACCGAGGAGCAGTACCTGGATCTCGAGTGGACAGAGGGCGACCTAGAGAGAGGAGAAGAGCACGAGCAAGGGCAGGAGCGAGAGAAAGAACAATGATTTGACAGGTGGTAGATGCCATTGAAGGGGTTGATTATGAGTGCCCTTTTCTAGGCTATGTCCTACTACAGCTGGGGGGGGGATTCACAATCTTCATCATATTGTGTTTATGTATATAGGTGGGTAGGTTTACGGGGGGACCAATCAGTTTGGGGATTATTGTATTGTACGATAGCGGTGTCAGAGTCAATGACGGTTCTGAGGGGAAGATACCAATTTGAATTGATTATGGGCTCTAGTAGGAGAATGAGTCGATGTTTACTGCGATGAATCCGAGAAAAGTAAGAGAGGTAAGAGAGGTAAGAAAGGATCGTACGGTGCCTGAAATTACTGAGTTGGGAATAGCCGCCGTTCCTACTATTCTTTTTCACATGTCAGGGTGTCACGCCACTCACTCATTGTTGGCCAGCCAGTCTCTCTCTCCGCCCGCACTTTTTCTTTCTCCAAACAACCCCCCCCCCTTTCTCATCTCACTCGAAACCAGCCACCCTCTCCCTTTTGACTACTCTTCTCCCGTGTTGAAGACGAAATATGCCCTGCCCTCTCTTTCGAACTGCCTCGTCTCGTCGAATTTGACCCCTTTCGCCTTCTTTCATCGCACAATGGCCACCGCGGTCGCCAATGGCCACGCCACCCCCTCCGCCGATGCGGCCAAACAACGGAGACAGATCCACCACCACGGCGACGTCGTCATTGTGGGCGCCGGGATTCTCGGATGCGCCCTCGCCGTGACACTGGGGAGACAAGGCCGGAGTGTGCTGCTGCTGGAGAACTCGTTAAAGGAGCCCGATCGCATCGTGGGCGAACTGCTGCAACCCGGTGGTGTCCAGGCCCTGGAGCAGCTGGGTCTCGCCGACTGTTTGGAGGAGATCGACGCGATCCCCGTGGAGGGGTACTACATCACATACCACGGCCAGCCGGTGGAGATCCCGTACTCGCAGGCCTCGCCGACGACGCCGCCGCCCCGGGGCCGCTCCTTCCACCACGGCCGGTTCGTGATGAAGCTGCGCGGCGCGGCGCTGGCGTGCCCCAACGTCACGGTGGTCGAGACCAAGGCCACGGAGCTGGTCACTTGCTCGCACACCAAGCAGGTTCTGGGTGTCGAGTGCGTGACCAAGGACGGCCAGGCGGACTGCTACTTCGGCCACCTCACCGTCGTGGCGGACGGCTACGCCTCCAAGTTCCGCAAGCAACACCACGCCCGCACCCCCGAGGTGCGCTCGCGCTTCTGGGGGCTGGAGCTGATCGACCCCGTCATGCCCAAACCCTACTACGGCCATGTGCTGCTCAGCAACGACGCCCCGATCCTCATCTACCAGATCGGCACCCACGAGACCCGCATCCTGATCGATATCCCCGAGAATCTGCCCTCGGCCTCCGTCAAGAACGGCGGCGTCAAGGCCCACATGCGCAACGTCGTCCTCCCTTCGTTGCCGGAATCCGTTCGCCCTTCCTTCGAGGCTGCCCTCGAAAAGGGCCCGCTGCGCTCCATGCCCAACTCCTATCTGCCCAGTGCACGCAACCAGACCCCCGGGCTGGTCATCCTGGGCGATGCCCTCAACATGCGTCACCCGCTGACCGGCGGTGGCATGACCGTCGCGTTCAACGATGTTGTCGTGCTGCGCGACCTGCTGAGCCCCGAGAAGGTGCCCAGCTTCAGCGACACCGAGAAGGTCATCCGGCAGCTGTCCTCGTTCCACTGGCAGCGCAAGAACGGATCCTCGGTCATCAATATCCTTGCCATGGCGTTGTACAGTCTTTTTGCTGCTGACGGTTAGTGCCCGTGCCCTGCCCCTTTCCCTGTTGCCCCCCTCCTTTCGCATGTCAAACATATAATCGCATGGAACTGACACACCGCGTGCAGATGAACACCTCCGCGCCCTCCAACGCGGCTGCTTCCGCTACTTCCAACTGGGCATGACGTCCGGCCCCGTGGGCCTGCTGGCGGGCATGACCAAGAAACCGGCCGTGCTGTTCGGCCACTTCTTCTCCGTGGCCTTCCTGTCGCTGTGGCTGCTGATCGCCGAGTCACCGCTGTACAAACTGCCGCTGGTGCTGTGGCAATGTGTCATGGTGTTCTGGACGGCGTGCGTGGTGATCTTCCCATACATGCTGATCGAAGCTTTTTGCTGATGTTGATGTGGATATCCCCCTTTGCCTTTTTTGCCTCTTGTATAATATTGACTTCGGTGTCATTGAGTTAACTATATTAATACCTTTTTTTTTTCGTTGTCGTGGGTTGGTTGGTTGGGTGTCTAGTATATATGCGTGCTACGCTTTTCTGTTTTGTGTGTGATAGAATAATAAGGATAGCGTGTTCTTAATGATAGCATTGAACCACAGGCTTATATTGGGTTCAGACTTTGGGTAGTAGAGGTGTATAGCATAGTCCAGCCTCTAGGAGTATATAAAGAAACGTGGCTTGTGGTTTAGGGGGTATAGCTTACCTGAGCTACATGAGACCCTAAGATTGTGGTCAAGGTAGAACCGGCTCGTCCGCCAACCGCACCCCCTCCGCTGCTTCACTTTCTGGAGGTTCCTCCGACTCCCCCCTGTTTGGGTGGACTCCTTCCTCATTGTACTGGGGCGCCGAGGACCGTAACGACTCATCATCCAGACCCACTACCCAGACACATATCAATTGTTAGCATACCCCTGAGAAGAACTACCTGCACAAGAAGCCATCTGCACAAAACCCCAGTAAGGAACAAGGGAAGAACTAACCGAACGGCCGAATCCACCAGCTTGCCGCCGACGCGGCCCCAAACACCGCCGCCAGCACCACAAAGATGGCCGGGGTGAACCGGCCGACGGTGACGCTGTAGATGAGCGAACACACGGTCGGGGCGAAGATGCGCGCCAGCGCGTGCAGCAGCCCCTTCGCGCCGAGAATCTGGCCCAGCCCCTCGCGGGGCACGTGCTTGGTCAGCGAGGACTGCAGCGTGGGGACGCCCATGCCGCCCAGCGCCAGGATCACGCCCGAGAAGGTCATGAGGGCGCCGTTGAAGGCAAGGGCGTAACCGATATTGCCCAGCGTGTCGAGGAGGATGGAGATGCGGATGAGGCTGATCTCGTAAGGGGAGGAGCCGGGGATTTTCTTTTGCGCGGCGGGGTGGTGGGTGGATGGGCCCTGGGCGGGTTGGAAGATGGCGGTGATGATGGGGTAGATTACGAAGAGGTTCAGGACGCGGATGATGCTGATGCTGGAGATGAAGAGGCTGGATTCCACGTTGCCCCATCCGAACTTGTACTCGGCGTACATGATGATGACCTGCGCCGAGCCGAGGGCCACGCCGAAGGCGAGGGTGTCTAGGGTCGTGAGGAGGATGATGTTCCGGCGGAGGGCCGGAGTGGCGCCCCCCGCGTTGGGGAAGAGGGGGCTCGGTCGCCCGACGGGCGGGAGGAGCACGGCGAGTGGGGTAAGGAGGTGTTTTGGGTTCAGAGTGTCCCAGATGGGTTTCGGGGGTTGGTCGTGCAGGTGCTTGCGGTGGCGGTCCCGGAAGGCGGCCTGGCGGCCGGGGGAGAGGGATTCCGGGACCAGGAGCAGGATGGTCACCAGGAAGAGGATGTGGAGGACGAGCGAGGCCGTGAAGACGTCCAGGACCTGGCCGGTGCGTTTGATCAGGACGGCGGCCAGCAGCGGGCCCGCCGCCAGCCCCGAGAACAGCGCCCCGTACAGGTAGCTGAAGGCGACGCTGCGGTGGGCGGGCAGCGTGCAGTCTGAGGCGTACGAGGCCGTCAGCGCCATGATGGTCGTGAACGAGCCGCCCAGCCCGTCCACGAACGCCGCGCCCAGCAGCACGTTCACCGAGACCAGGTCCGGCTGCGCCGCCACGAACAGCGTGATCGCCTCCCCGACCACCGTCGCCAGCGTGCTCAGCGCGATCACACGCGTCCGCCCGTGCCGGTCCGACAGGTGGCCCAGCCGCGGGCACACCAGCGCCGACAGGATCCCCGCCACCAGGTTGTAGTACAGCTGGAACCGCGCCACCTGCGACTGCACCTCCGGGATCTGGCACTGCGCGTTGTCGCTCCCGATGATCACCGGCAGGTACGTGAACCCGGGATTCTGGCTGGCTTTCTTTGCCATGTAGTCCTTGCACACCAGCGTCACCATTAGGTTGATCTTGGGGACCGCCGTGCCCCCGAATCCCAGCATGTAAAGGATCAGAAAGGGGAAGAGCCAGAAGACCTGTTCGATGACGGTTAGCAAGGGAAGGCTTGGCAGGATTTAGCGGGGGCTATAGCGTATCAATCACTTACGCTCGCCTTCCACCATTTGTGTTGCGGGCTTTCGTCCTCATGGTCGTAGTCATGGCCCGAGGGCGAGAGGCTCGTCTCATCGGAGTCGTGCGGTGGTCTAGAGTCGCCTAGTAGAGGCGTCTGTTCGTGCGTGTGAAGGTCTGTCGCATCGTGGTGCTCGGAATGAGCCGAGGCTGCATTCGAACGAGCACGCAGACTCGAACTCGAATTGTAGTCGACCTCTGCTGGAGGGGGGTCTCCCCTGGTTTGTGGTGTAATGCCCGTCATGTTTACTCGGGCGATTTATGAGGATGATAGTCGCACGAGAGTAATCATATAGAGTGTATATGTATATGTATATATTCGAAAGTTGCTGCCTGTAATTCCTGGAGAAGGGGGGGGGGGGATTGTTGTTGTTGAGAAGGGCGATAGCCACAAATTGCTTATCAATCAAGCTCAAGCTCAACAGACGTGGTCAGGATTGAGCCAGAGATAGATAGATAAAAAGGATCAGTCTTCAAATGAGGAGTCGACTCGTTACCAAGTAGTGACGTGATTGACGGGACAATGGCATGCATTGGAGCCAGCCAGCTGGTTTATTGGGTTCAGGTTTCGGGGGGATTTCAGCCACTGGATGTTGTTGAAGCAAGGAAGTTGATAAGAAGCGGGCAGGGAATCTGGAAGGCGATTCGAGGCCCGATAAGAACTCAAACCGTCGGTCTCGGAGCTCCGACTCTCCGACTTTCCTGGAAATAATACTAATGTACACTCAATTATCCTCTTTTGCTCGACAATACAGCAACCAGAAACCGTTTCCAAATCACCGAGGTAATCCGAAAAAATTCAGAAAAGAATAAAAGAACTGTTAAACGCCTGCCTGCCTGCTTGCCTGCCTGCCTGCCATCTAAAGCACTGTGCATTTTTCTAAAGAACCAGAGAGGAAGCACGCTCGCCAGCAAAGAACTTCTTCTGTTCCAAGCATCGCTCACTCTTGCAGCCCTGACAACGCAGAGTCATCTGCAGCGAGCAGGGCTCCCCCTTGCGCAGATGCTCCTGGGCAACGTCCGCCAGAGCTTGGATGAAGATGGGGCTACCATTCAAGCTCTCCGCACGCTTCACTCCCGGGTGATTGGCCTCCTCCATCACTTCGAGATCCAGCTCGTAGAGGGTTTCAATGTGGTCGCTGGTGAAAGCAATAGGGACTAGAACAATGTCGGTCTGACCCCGCTTCACATATTCCTGCACCGTATCACTCGTCTGTGCTCCCAGCCAAGCCTTCGGTCCGACCTGAGACTGCCAGCACAGTCGGTAAGGGTTACTGAACTTGAGTCGCTGCATGACTGCATGCACAGTCGCAGCAACTTCTGCCGGGTAGGGGTCACCTGAAAAAGCACAGTTAGCTACGGAATGTAATAGGCCGGTGAGACTGTCGGCCTACCTCGGTTCACAACACTCATGGGGAGACTGTGGGCCGAGAACAGGAGAACAACGCCGTCTCGCTTGTCTGCGGGATAGGTCTTCAACTGATCTTCAATGTTCTTCGCGAAAGCCTCAACCAGTCCCGGGTGCGTGGGCCACCGGTCGATCACGCTCCACTGGATGGCACCAGCCGGCTGCGCGTCGCCATTCGCCCGCGGTCCTTCCAGGCGGTTCCTCCACTTCCACAGCTCGTTCAAGGAGCTGCCCGTGGTCGAGCAGGAGTATTGCGGATACTGCGAGAAGGCCACGGCCCGTCCACCTTTACCGTTGCCGAATCCATCCTGTAGCAATTGCGCATACATCGACTCGGTCAAAGGCGCGGCGTAGCGGAAAGCGACGTATGGCTTGTGGGGGGCAGTCTCCGGGTTGATCTTATCCAGCAGCTTGCACATCTCCTCACACTGATACTCCGACCACTTCCGGATCGGCGAGCCTCCGCCGATCTCCGCGTACTGCTTCTGGATCTTAGGCGTTCTTCGCTTTGCGATCAGCGGTCCGAGATATGACTGTAGTCGACCCAGGGGGATCAAGTCGCCGTCGGCCTGTGATATAGATGTTGATTAGTTAGGGGACGAGCGGTGAGAAGCCAAAGCGAACCCTTCCTCCCCGAAGACGTACAAATAATCTGCTGAGGAAGTCTTCGACTTCGCCGGTTGTTGAGGGTCCTCCCATGTTGAGGAAGACCATGGCCGTGGGGCCCTTAGAGCCGGTCGCATCTTGAGTGACTGGAGGAACTGCTGTTGCAAGGCCGTGTCTCTGTTCGTGGAAGTAATTGAACGAGGCGCGAGTTGCCGGTCGCAACAATTGCCGGGGAAGAGTGAACGGGCGGCGAAGAGCCATGGTGGTCATTTGGCGACTGCCTGAGAGGCAGTACTGCGGTCGGATATGTAAGACTGGGGAGAGTTGAGCGAATTGAAGGCACACCGATCGCGATTGAGAGATTCAGGACAGGAACGGTGGGTGCCAGGTGGCAAGCAGAAGGCCAGATGTTGAGACTGAGTGAGTGAGTGAGTGAGTGAGTGGCAGCTGAGAAAGCCGGCCTGGTTGGGAAAAGCCCAGAACTGGGCGGATGACGGAGACGGAGCTTGACTCTCGTAACTCCGATGCACCAATCACCACCACCTGAGGGTCATCATTAGTATTATCGAATCTTCTTCTCATCGATGATCGGAGATCACATGATGTTCGTGTTTTCCCCGCGTCGGTCTTTCGCTCGCCAAACCGCGCGTCATCGCGACCGCCATCTTATGTACATAACCTAATACGGTGAGTCTAAAGCTTCCCTGAATCGCCCAGGCAGCAAAACCACCACTCCAGGCAGATACGCAACTCTCACTGGCCACACTTAGTCATGGAATAATTCCCTTTTAACCTCTTTTGCTCCTGGTAAATTAATCGAAATTGAAATTATTGAAGCCTCTTTTAAACACAGTCATGGCCGACAGTAACCCACCACGAGACGATGAAGTAGGCGAAGAGGAAGAAGAGGAGATCGATGAATCCGTACATACTTCCCTTTCGCTCGATTTTTTTCAAATGAAAAGCACAGCTAGGCTGATCCCCTATAGAACTACAAATCGGTGAAAGATGCGGTTCTCTTTGCGATCGAAGTTAGCGACTCCATGCTCGAGCCTCGCCCATCTGCCGACCCCAAGAAACCCGTGGAAGAATCGCCGGTCACCGCAGCCTTGAAATGCGCATACCACTTGATGCAACAGCGAATCATTTCTAACCCACAAGATATGATGGGAGTTCTCTTGTACGGGACGCAGGCGTCCAAGTTCTACGATGAAGTCGAGGGCAGCCGAGGCGACTTGTCCTATCCCAACTGCTACCTCTTCACAGACCTCGACATCCCGTCTGCGCAAGAGGTCAAGGACCTTCGAGCGCTGGTAGAAGATGAGGGGAAAGCCAGAGAGATTCTCGTGCCGGCAGAGAAGCAAGTATCCATGGCAAACGTCCTATTCTGTGCCAACCAGATTTTCACCTCCAAAGCGCCCAACTTCCTTTCGCGGCGGTTGTTCATAGTCACCGACAACGACAGTCCTCACACCCAAGACAAAGCCCTGCGGTCTGCCGCGACAGTGCGAGCTAAGGATCTATACGATCTCGGAGTCACTATTGAGCTCTTCCCCGTCTCCCAGCCCGAACATGAGTTCGACAGCTCCAAGTTCTATGACGTAAGACCTTGTCTCAGGCGGAATTGGTGCTGTACTGACTGGCTGTGAAGGATCTCATCTATAAAACCTCTCCGAATGACCCCGATGCCCCTGCGTATCTACAACCGGACTCCAAAGCTTCAACGGCTACAGGGGATGGGATCTCCCTCCTCAATACCCTATTGTCTAGTGTCAACTCAAGATCCGTGCCTCGGCGCACTCATTTCTCGAATATGCCGCTGGAGCTTGGACCCAACCTCAAAATCTCAGTGTCAGGCTATATCCTCTTTCGGCGGCAAGCGCCCGCCCGGAACTGCTATGTCTGGCTTGGAGGCGAGAAGCCCGAGATTGTCAAAGGAGTCACGACTCAAATAGCCGACGACACGGCGCGCACGGTGGAGAAATGGGAGATCAGAAAGGCCTACAAGTTCGGCGGGGACCAAGTTGTCTTTACCCCCGAGGAGCAGAAGGAGTTGAAAAACTTCGGTGATCCGGTCATCCGCATTATAGGCTTCAAGCCCGCTTCTGCCCTTCCCTACTGGGCGAACATGAAACATCCTTATTTCATATATCCGTCAGAGGAGGACTACGTGGGTTCAACCCGCGTGTTCTCCGCCTTGCATCAGACGCTTCTGCGGCAGAAGAAGATAGCTCTCGTCTGGTTCATTCCACGGAGGGCTGCCAACCCGGTCCTTGGTGCTATGATCGCCGGAGAGGAGAAGGTCGATGAGAACGGCGTGCAGAAGTACCCCCCTGGCATGTGGATTGTGCCACTTCCGTACGCCGATGATGTTCGCCAGAACCCCGAGACCACCCTGAATGTGGCTCCAGAACCGTTGATCGACCAGATGCGTGTTATTGTCCAGCAGCTGCAACTCCCCAAGGCCTGCTACGAGCCTCTGAAATACCCAAATCCATGTAAGTGTTTGAATTGCCCTTTGATCCGCGCGTCATTGGTCATTGACTAACTTGTTTTAGCATTACAATGGCACTATCGCATCTTACAGGCGCTGGCTCTGGACGAGGATCTTCCCGAGAGACCGGAAGACAAGACCGTCCCGAAGTACAGACAGATTGACAAGGTACGATACTTCGCTTTTGATACTATGACTGTCACTAATTTTCAATTCCAGCGCGCTGGGGACTATGTGCTGTCATGGGCCGACGAGCTCGAGAAGCAGTACGCCACGATCGCCGTTGAGAAACCAGCATCCAGCACTCTTGTCAAGCGAGGCGCGAAGAATCGTGCCCCGGAAGACGACGCAGAGTCCAGCAAGCCAGCTAAGAAGGTCAAAGTGGAAGCCGACAATAACATTGAGGAGGAAGTGCGGCGACATTACCAGAAGAACAACCTGTCCAGGGTAACTATTATCTTGCCATGCGGTGTGTGACCACGCTAATTTGTTGTGCAGCTTACGGTGAATATCCTGAAGGATTTCCTCACGTCTCATGGACGCTCTGGGGTGGGGAAGAAGGCAGATCTGATCGATCGCGTGGAGCAATTCTTGGAGTCTGGATAAGAGACCTCGGAAAGAAGGCATGATTCGAGGCGTTACGACTGTACAGTACTCGCGACCGGATAAGACATAGGGATCTATTGCATCGTCATTAGGAAACAAATATGAACGTCCTGTCAAATCATAGCTGGCCAATCCGGACCATCTGGATGGGTACACATGAATCGTCTAGTTTTTGTTATTGTAGTTGCGTCGAGCAATCTCGCTACCCCTGGTCAGGCCGGCCCCTGCTTGAAGCGTGGTTGGACGATCGACCATTGCTCAGATCGATAGGGTGGCCCATCCAACTTCTCCAGGTAAATGAGATGAGCAGCTACTTGGAAGGTCTTTAATAGTGACATCATTGTTTCGTTGCAGTACGGTGGGTATAGGTTTTGAGCCGAATCCCGCCGAGGAGGTGGAGGAGGTGGAGGAGGTGGAGGAGAGGACGGGATGCTTTAGACCAGGGGCACTCCCACGGTTCGCCCCTGATTAAGAAGCTTGGCACCCGCCTACCGCTCTAGCGGCGTACAGTGTACAGTACGATTGCTCTAACTATGTGTGTCTCTGGCAATGGTCCTGGTTGTAGGTCTCGAACTTGCCCAAGCAATTCAAAGATTGTTGGGCGACTATAATTACGGCGAGGCGGAAGTTGATATCAAAACCTACACGAACCCCAAGCCTTCCACCGACCGCAAGGTGAGTCGGTGTCACTTCCTACAAACCTTAAGATGTGTGTGTATGAGCTGCGGCCATGCAGCATGTCATTCTACATAGCGAGTGATATACGGTCAACTCGGTGAGGTGTTCCTGTCGAGTAGGTGACGAACGCTCGATTCCCGATCTGGCGACTGCAGCTCAGTTTCCCAGTCAGGTGGGATCACGTGCAGCAATGAGCTGAGTTCACCGAGTGTAGCAAATCAGACAAACCAGACAAACCACGCAAATCAGGAGGGCCAACCTGTCACTGCAGTTGGTCCCGTCAGTCCAGGATTGGATGCGTCAATCTTGTTCCAATTAAGTTCCAATTCATCCATGCCGATTGTTGACATCAAAATAACCTACTGTAGGCTTGCGCTGGTTCCAAGGTTGCTCCTGACACCCCGTAGATACTGACTTACATATTTGTATAATCGCCGGGTTGATCCCTTTCCTCCCCTCTTTTCCTGTCTTTCATTTCCATTCAATTCTCCTCATTTATGGACCATTGAGTATTACGTATCAGATCAATGGTTTGGGCGTCGTTAGTATGCCTGGATTGTCTCCATTGCACGGCAATAATTAGACTGGTGTGTGTATTCCTGAGGCCAGCCAAACACTACTACCCCTGCCGTCCTTCCTTTCCTTCTCTCTCCCTTCTCTCTCTCTCTCTCTCTCCTACTAGACTAGACTAGACTTACTTCTCGTCTCCTCTCCTTCTCCTCCTCCTCTCCTCTTCTCCTCTTCTTCCCTTCCTTTCCGTGTGTGTGTCTCCCCGCCCAACGAGTCGTCTACCGTCTCGTTGTTCCACCCCCCCCCTCCTCCCCTCTCCGGCACTGCCTTTGAAATCACTCACTCCCTCACTCACTCCCTCATTCTTCATTTCTCAACTCACATCCCCTTCTTCATCTCCTCTTCTTCTTTCTTTCTTTCTTTTGCAATTACAATACTCACCACTCTTGTCCTTCCTTATTATTTCCTTTCTTTCCTTTAATTCCTCAATTGATCCTAATCTTATCGCCCGAACGGCAACGTTAGGTGGCCGTTCATCATCGCACCCGCCCGCTCCCCGTGGCTCATTAGCGCACGGCCTTCGTTTGTCGCGCCTGTCGGGCCTTGCTTGTTGCGCCGCAAGGACACCCCCCCCCCCCCCAAAAAGCATCGCCCGCTGCCTGCTCCCGAAGGCTGAGCGATTGGACTTGACTATCGGGTTGGCCCGCATCCTGATTCGACGCACAACGAGGTCACCCTGCGTCGGCAACGCGTTTGTTGTCTGGCGGCCTTGTTGTGGTGACGCTGTTTCGGTCGCACCTCGATTCTCCTCTCGGGACGACATCTAGCTGCATTCTCAACCCTTCGGCTCCATCAGCAATCTCGACCCCCTTCAATCCGTCTTCCATTCGCCTATAGACGCGTCACTGCGTGGGCTTGCCGACCCGACCGCGCGCATCCCTTGTGTCGCTCCACTGCCACGCTCCGTCCGAAGCCACGGTATTTGCGGAGCCAAATTCGCTGGTCGGCTCAGTAAACGGAACTCATAGCCCAAGGACTCGACCTTAATAAACCGTCAGAACATCGAGCGCAAGCCGGAGGATGATTCAGAATTGATACGACGATACGAATACCGAGGCGACGAGTTACG